CTATGTTAAAAAATTATAGTTATAAAAATAGTTACAAGAACGAATAATAATATTAATGAAAAATGTAAATTGCAAGCAATTTAAATCACTAGACGCTGATTGAGAAATAAAATATATGTTCTTATATTGATGAGGATTCCTTACATATATTACAATTTTTAATTAAAACTTATTTTCATTATAAAATTAGAAGTGTATGGAACAGAACTAAACATAAATTGAACTTGAAACGTTAAAGAATTTGTAAAAACAAGATTTTAATTCGAAACCTCTAAAAACAACTTTTCTGAGTTGTCCTTTTATTGTTGGTAAAAATAATGTTGAATAAATGCTCGAAGACTACACAAGATCGATCATTTTTACTTTTTTATGTTTATTTTGATTGGCGATTAAATTATTGGAGCAGTTTGGTACTTTAAGGGCTGTGAAAGTTGCAGTTTCTCTATGATTTTTTTTAAGTATAAGAAGAAGTAGTTATGGATCAAAATAAAATTGAATAACAATATAGTTTTTTAAATGTAGTTTAATGAGATATTTTTTGTTTCCTTTTTTTGAACAATGTTGTAGTTATTTTTATTCATTTAAGGTAATACGCAATACAGGACAACAAAAGAAGGTCGACTTGAATTGTTATAGCGTTGTCAATTCTTCTAGTTTTCTCACAAACTTTAAACAAAATTTAAGACTTGTATATTTAACAAAAAAAAAAAAAAAAAAAAAATTATCTATTTGAAATTACCAGACTGCCTCCTCAATTGTTAATCGCTCACGACGATTGAAAATTTAATCAATAGCACGCCATTTCTTAATCTTTAAAAATCATGGAGTACTATTCATTTCGTAACATACTCTCTGTTTGGTTCTAAAATGAAAAATTGAAATTCAACCGTTTTATATCATACAATTGTGATAAATGTTGAAATTCGCTTTATTTTCGAAAACAAAATAAATATATATACAGCATACATGCATATTAAAGCAACACAAATTACGATTTTTAGAAGGAAAAAATGAATTATACTGGAAAGAAATAACGTTAAATAACAATTTATGTAATTACTCCGAGAGCAAAATTTGGGAATGTCTGGAATCAATCATTAGATAGATCTAATCTTTGGTTAATTAAATTCATTTTGAGCAGTTCACAACCATCATTGATAAATTAACAATAAGATTTTTAGCGGTGTTATCGAATCGATCCATTATTACTTTAATCGTTGTGAGCGATTAAAAATTAATTTAATCGCTACAAGTAATTAACAATTGTGCATTTCAATCGATTAAATCTTGCCCAACACTGGTGAGAGGGGGATACCAAATGGAAGGTAACCAAGCGTTTTGCAGTCAATTCATTGGAAGTGTCATGGTGTATCAACACATGATTCTAATTGCTTTTTGTTTCTTCGAGCGCGTTTGCACGAGTTTTTTGAGAAAACCGGTGTCATGGATGATACGAAGAGACCTTAAGCTGAAAGAGAGAATATCTACTGGTATACAAGCACGCACCTAACACGAGAGAGTCCACAAGATAAGCCGTACCTGGTTCCCACAAATACAAGAACACAAGTTTCGTCCAAGAGAACAAATGCAACGGATGCCAAAGAGAGAGACAAGACAGATGGATACCAAAGATTTTCATGAAGACAAGAAGAATAGACCGCTGCGTATCATAGTGGAAAGAGAATATAAAGGATACACGCCTCAAGAGGATCACGATTTTTCCAAAACAGATGAGTTCCCCAACCGCGACAGAGTAGCGAGGAAATATTGTGGCTCACATTTTCACATTAAATGGATTTCTTCTTCTCCGTCTTCTTTTGTCACTAAATGGAGGACCAGTGAAAAATATTTTTGTTTTCTTCTTATATCGGTTAAATAATATCTCTTTAGAAAATTCTGTTCTTTTTTTTTTTTTTTTTCTTTGAAACTATTAGTGCAATGTTAAATATTTATTTTTGTGTCAGCTTTGAAATATAAGTTTTTGCAATAGTAAGCATTTGTAGAGGAACGTTTATTCAGCATTTGTGATACCAATCACCATACATGTATCCGTTTTATTCATGTTAATTTTACGAGCAACTTGTCTTTCTCTCTGCCTTATGCAGTTCCATCTTTTCAACGATCGATATAGTTTCTGATCGATCCACAAAGTTTGCTATTTAATTTATATTTTGAAGAGACTCTAAGAACGACCACAGAAATATCTTTTAATTTCTTTTACCCAAACATTATTTTACCATGATCGTTCAAGCATTTAACGATCTGCTACGGTGACATTATACATTGTGAGCTGCTCTGCAGAAATATTAGTCCAAACCGTCGATTTCTTCGTAGAGGAGTAATCGATTATTTGAATATCCTTAGACAGTTTTCTGCAGGGTGGAGGTTTCTTTTTGTTTAACGACTATACTTGTTTTAAAGATTGAATTGCATAAAAAGAAAGGTTGCATCAATCGCAGATACTAAATTCGAGCACATATTTTCAACCTAATATTCAGCACTGAAGATGTGGACAGAGACAGGACAATTTACTTGGCTTTTTTTCAGTAAGGATAGATTTTCGTATAATTCTTTCGCAAGGAAAAAGGATTTACATAGGACATAGTGGATACAAAAAAGTGCACAGGATACATTTTTAACCTCTGCGTTACTCTTAGTGTAGGAACACAATTTAGTATTATTCATAACGTGAATATAATATATCGTATCTCATGATTAATCATAAAATAAACCTGTTCATGTCATTGCAATGTATTAATTCTTGTTCTTGTGTGATGCTCCAGGATTTGAAGGATTATATGAGACAGGCTGGAGAAGTGACGTACGCAGATGCACACAAGCAACGCAGAAATGAAGGGTAAATTTGCAATTATTTCGAAAAACTCCTAATGTACAACTAGTTTGTTCAATTTATTTAAATAATAATATTTAATGTTCGCAGAGTTGTAGAATTCGCAACATATTCAGACTTGAAGAACGCTATCGACAAATTGGACGACACAGAACTGAACGGACGTAGGATTAGGCTTATCGAAGACAAAAGACGTGGTCGTCGCTCAAGGTCATCCAGTTCGAGGTCGAGATCACGATCACGATCACGATCTCGTCGCCGATCCCGCTCCCGCTCAAGGTATTATCGTCGTTCTCGAACCCGGTCAAGGTACTATCGGGGGCGACAACGTCTCCAATCATCATTTTACTTTTTACATTAATCCATTTATGGAAGTAAAAATTCCAGACCTTGCAAAAAGTATAACTTTCGAACTGTGTTAATGACAATGAATAGTTACGTTTATATAAAAAGCAAGACATAAATGGATTAATTTATAGAGTAGTAACTTCATTACTTGCAATTGTAAAGAGACGGACATTACAAACACTTTTTATTTTTACATAAAATATTCATATACACATTACACTGAATTAAATTGGCTAAGGTTTCTTTTTTCTTTTTGTTTGTATTAATTTGCCGTTAAAATCATCTGACAAGAACATTTTTCTTTTGTACTAGGAGTCGTCGCAGCACTCGTAGCCGTAGCCGCCGCAGCAGCCGCTCCAAATCAAGGGCACATTCAAAATCCAAATCAAAGTCCAAATCCAAATCCCCCGAGCGTAGCCGCTCGCGTTCCAAATCCAAGTAAGTATCCCGATCCTTTAGTATATTTATTTGTTCGTTCTCGATTAATTAGTCCATTATTTCAATGTTTTGGCATTTATTTATTTATTTGCTTTGTTTCTTGCGCAATTTTATCAACTATTGAACACACATATATCCAACACGTTCACCCTTCCCACGTTGTTGGCATTGTGTTTGGGCTCGTTTACACGGCCTCTCAACGCTTATATTCATTTTTGTACACAAACCATCACTCATTCAACCAAAAAAAAAAAAGAAGTTTCAATTGTATTTTTACTTGTATAATTTTCTGTCTCCTTTTCATTTGAACTATAATTTTACAGATCAAGAGACCGCTCAAAGTCGAAATCTAAGTCAAAGTCCAAATCCAGATCTCGTTCTAGGTCCAAGGCCGAGAGGTCAAAGTCCAGGTCGCAGTCCAAATCCAAAGCCAAGTCTCCCTCAAAGTGAGTTTAATCGATATAATTAGCGCAAGACAAGCAAATTCAGAAGTCGTCCCTTTTAATTCAGTTATTCTTACAGAGACAGATCTAGTCGCGAAAGATCAAGAGGTGATAGATCAAGATCCAGATCGGGCAGCAAACATAGCAAAAGCCGTAGCCGCTCACGTTCGCCAATGAACGGGGACAAATCTCCAGAAAATAACAAAATGAAATCTGATTAAGGGAGCGAAGGGGAGCGAATGGAATGAATGAAAGGGATTAATGGGAGTGAAGCTTGAAAAAGTTTCTCTTTTAATTTCCTTCTTTTTCTACATTAAATACATTCAAGAAGCCAATTTCATCATGCCTTGATTTAAGACGTCAATTTTTATGACACTACTTGTAATTAACATAATTATACATCGTTTTATGATAAGTGAAATTCTAAAAATCGCTAAAGAAATATAAAAATTTGAAAAATACATGTAATTTTGACGATCGGCTTAAGAGTAATTAATTTATACATGGGTTATTTACCGAACCAATTGTGGTACGTTGGTTTCACTATAATTTTAATTATATATTGTACACATCCTTCTGAACACGACTCGCATTTAGAAAAATAAGATGTCTTCATACGTACCTTAAACGGATTCTACACGTTTTCGATGTATCTCCGTATATCGAGGATTTCCTGTAATGGCTTTTTGTATATATTCCTAACAATCACACATTACAATGTGGAAAAATATGTGATGTGTATTAAATTTAGTGGTAAGAGGTATCTTATTGTCAATAAAAATTCATGCCAAGCCTATCATACGTCCTTGTTCTTTTTAATAACATCCAAATACAGTTTTTACCATTACAACATTTTGTTAACAAACAATATGAAAACAGTAACTGAAGTTTAAATTAAATTGTTACAAGTTCATTAGACGATATGGTTTCATTTATAAATTTTAGCCAATGTTGAAATATCTAAATTATCGAACAATAGATGACTAAAGAGTTCTTACTTTTGTAATCTTTACATGATCAAAGCCAACTATAAACCTGCTCAAAATCTTTTGGTTGTTATACAAACTTTGATGTCTCGTATCGTACGTCTGTCAACATGATGTAAACACGAGGCATTCTTGACATTTAGACAGATGCTTGAGCGAGGGGATTGCGATAGATTGTTCTGTTCGAATGTCGGGACGCCGGGACTCTACGTGCCAAAAAAATGATCTCCCAAAGTCACTACACGGGGCTGAGGACGCTGAGATGGTGTGGAGTATGATAACAGAAAGATTTCCAAACGCTGCGCCCCTCCTTTGTGAAATGGAGGCGGTGGTCGATCGTGCCGAGGATCTCCTTATGCAGCTACGAGCACCCTGCCAACGAGAGATTGGTTGGTTTGCGTTTTTACACAATCAATTCTCTCAAAGTATTAATATAATATTATCTATCAAGATAAAAATAATTTTTAGGTTAAAATTTCTAAACCACACGCAAATGTATTTTTTTTCTTCGACGTTTCAACCACTGTGTTAGGTCCTCATCACCCTCAGAGGCTGTGGCATGTAAATATGCTGCTACAGTACGGGTTTAGCAACCCCCGAGGTACCCGAGCTATACAACTAGAATTATGAAAGCAATACGTGACAAAAACTAGTTAATAAATCTCCACCCTGTTCAGAACGATGTTATCTTTCATATTTCGTTGAATAACAATTTCTTTGTGGTTCATATCAGTATTATTCAATTTTCCTGTGTCTAGAAACGTCTACCTCCTTCTGCACTCCTGATTCGGAGGAATCAACTCTGATGATTTCCGCTAGAGGATCATTGAGCACCGAAAATGACGTACGTGCCGCGGCTAGGGATGTTCGATTTTTGCGAATCAATCGATTCAAAATAGATTCACAATCGAACATCCCTAATTGAAAATTAATTCCAATGTTTTCGAGTCGACTTTCGTAACCAAACATTTAACCTATTTATGTAATACACTATGTATTAAAGAATCCAGAGAACGATGTCGATAGAAACGTCGCAGGGACACAGATTTCTAACAGCACAGTAGACGAAGAAGATGTCAACTCGAACAGCCACAAGAACTTCATTTTCAGAAATGAAAGCGTTGATATGCAATCCAGCGAATCGTCAACGATGCAACGTTCTACGGGTGACAAATTCTCGACCGCTGAAGAATCTGCTTCTTTGAAAATCGACACACGTCTGTGGAGTTTAATGATTAGATCAAAATTCCACTTTGTAACGATTATGCGATTTATCGCTGTTTTCATGTAGACGTCGATCAGAGAATGAAGGAAGCACGTAGCCTGGAGGAATGGAGCAAAGTGGTGGACAATGCCATGCGGAAATCGATTATCGGTATCTACTAATACTTTACCGATCGGTAGCGATTCGACATATATATTTTTTATTTTGACAATATTAATATTATTCAATCTTTTCGAATAGAATATTTATTTTGTCTATTAGGAACGTTTTCTTAGGAACGTCTTTCAATTTACTGATGTAATGTTTACTTTAGGAGAGGATCAAGTGCACAAAGAAGCGGTTACTGTCGACAGGAAGTCCAATAAAGTCGAAGAGCATAAAATCCAGAGTGATATTGCGAATGGTAATTGTATTTTTCTTGACCAGTAACGTGACACCATAATTACTATTCCAATCCTTAACGAAATATTTCCTAGTACACGAAAAATCTTGCATTGTTCTCCATCGGCAAAGAAGATGCGCCGATATCGATAACGTGGGTGACTCTATGATCGACATTGATTCTGATCTAAACGTAGCGAGCCAAGAATTGATCGAGACCAAAGATGACACTGTAAACGTTTCTCTTCAAGTAAATGATCTACTTCACCACCATGCGCCTAATTTGTCGAGAACGGTTCGTTTCATTATTTACCATTGATTTAAGGGCAGCGGCGACGAAAGTTCACCCAAATTCGGTGAACAAAACACACCGTTAAATATTCTGGAGGGCTATTCGAAGCGCTGCAAGGTTCCTGTTAAATACGAATACGTCAACGACGGTATCCATCGTCACAAATCGAACGTCTTTGTGATTCGCGGCAGTCTCGGTGAATTTGCTGGTAAAACATTATTACCGGATGGATCGACTTGACCATTGCTGAACATTTATTTTTTCTATTTTCATCGTTACTAACAGATTACGAACAGATAATAAAGTATACAATTATTCGATACTCACGTCACAGTGTACAGAATGATCACAGATTAATTTTCTTTTTCGAAGTAAATAAAACAAAATTTCTTTGCATAGAACAGACAGCAATAATAAAATTTGAAAATTGTCAAGATATCCGTTCTTTTTTTTTTTTTTTTTTAAAGAAAAGAATCTTTCACTTTGGTAACCTTTCCTCTCACCATTTTTATTTATATTCCTGAAATACATTACTCGTTAAATTGACAGCACCTGCCCGAGGAGAGAGCGAAGAGACCGCTAAGAACAGTCTGGCTACCACGTTACTGCAGATGATCGCTAACCATCAGATGAACGACGGGAAGCTCTCAAACCTTTTACCTCTCTCGGATGAAGAGTACGTGCTACAGAAATCTAGCTCAATAACTTCGATTATCAAAATTCTTAGCAATTTTATTCGGTTCAAATAAATTTGTATTCGCATATTTATTTAAATTTCAACGAAATTAATGAATATCCCGCTTTTAATTACACGTTAGGCTATGATTCAATTGATGGTTCAGTTACTTAAGAAGATTATCGCTCCAAAACAGGGATTACTGTGCATACATTTACGTTATTATTAGTAGTATTATACATTTATACATTTACATTATTTTGTACAATCGTACTTACAGTTATCAGCGCTTAAGAAACTGTAAAATTGGTGAACTTGATTCTACAGAATGCTGGAAATAATTCGCCTTGGCACGGATAGCCCTAGAGAAACGCCTCAGCGAAAACTATATCAGATCTGTCTCGAGACGGGACAATCGGTACCAAAGTACTGCGTCGAGAAAGTGAAAACTTATCAAGGCTTCACCTACGTCGCTACTTGTACAGCGCTGGGCTACACATGCGAAGGTACTTTACAAGTTTGAGCAATCTTTAATTATTTTTCAATCCCCTGTATCATTATTGTCTTCTATTTCTGAATAAGCTGTTATATGTAACACAGGTCGCGGTATCAGGGAATGCGGTGCCAAGAAATCAGCAGCTGACGAGGTGTACCGTCAGTACTGTCTAGACCAGAAAGCAGGTGCGAAGATTAAAGATCGGAAAACCCCTCGACTCTAGGAAAAATATGTTGACAACTTCCCTCATTAATTCTTATTGACAATTAACAAATATAACCCTCCATTACTAAAGCCAAAGCCACTTTTGTTTCCATAGCTGGCCACCTCCCTCGGGTTAAATATTATCCAATTGATTCTACAGGGTGTCCCAGACTTAGTACAAGAACCGAAAATGGGGATATAATTAAAAAACGATGCGCCATCCGATATTTTTACACAGAAAATTGTGGTTCAGAATCGTCTCAGCTACCCCCCATTTCCGGTTCTTACGCTAATTCTGGATATATCGACTCTATAAACAAATTGAAGTCAATCTCGACGACATTCGAGTTCTTGGAAACCTGGTGTATCTACAGAAGTCATTCTTCATTCGCAACACTGTGTACCGAATGAAATATTTTTCCCAAAAATTAGATCCTTGAAAATGCCTTGATCTCCTAGATGAGATTAATGATCCTAGTATCACCGAATATCTCCTGACTCTATGTGCAAATAAAAAGCTACGTTCGTGCTGGAAGACGCAGCTACAGTTCTTACCGAGTCAACTGATCCTCCGAGAACACTCCTGTTTAAAAAGTAATATTCATAAGGGAAGATGTCCTTGAAGCTTCAATTAACTTGGCAAGAAACCACCTGACAAGATTTGATCTCTCTCAACGCGGGTCAACTCTCATTTAAGGTATCTTGGCTACTATCCAAGGTAGCTTGCCGGTTTTCTTGAAGGACCAATAGTCGTACAGGAGTTTGCCAATGATGAGGAATATCAACGACGCTAGTACGATGTTCAAAGCGTCCAAGGGATGCAGCAATGGATTTTCGTTCGGTGAGGTGCAGATCTCCACGCGCGTCAGATCACGTATCTTGAAACAAATTAAGCAACGATTAAACGAATAAACTTTAAACATTCAGAGATTTTATTTCAGCGGTGGAATGCATCAATCGCTCACGATTTTTCCAGAGTTTCCATCGGAATTCGTCGGCGAGCACCTGACGTCGTTGATGTCCTTCACGAGATTGGGGTACCTGATCAGTAGATCCTGAAATTAAATCCTCGTGTCAACTTCAATCTCTTTTCTACGTTACGAAGTTTCTTCCTTCGTTGAAAGAATCGATACGTTTATAGATGTCAGACTAGGGGAACGATATATCGAGAGGAGGTTGAGCAAAAATATATAATTTATATTCAATTTTAGACAAAATTACGCCGCAAGAGGCTGCAAGCTTCGTTTACCTGAAAACCAGGCGTGAAGAGGCAGTCGCATCGCCACGGATTGTTCCCAAGATATAAGCTGACAGCGTTTCTATTGTGCTGCAACACGTTCTCCAAAGCATAGGTGGGCAGCTGAAACAGTGCCAGCAGACGCTGATCATCTCTTAAGCGCTCTAAATCTTAATTAACATATTTAATTCTTGCAGGTGTAACGCTATGTAAATCACTTAGGCCAACAGGTCAAGAATAATACAACTAATTAAAACCATTTGACTCTTAGTCCCTCTGCTAACGTGTCGTCTGTACTTTAATTTGCGTTCAACGTGGTACGAACGTCGGTCAGCTTATTCCCACGAAGGCTGAGCAACCGAAAACGATCCACCCAAGTGGATCCCTCCAACTGGACGATGCTCTCGACCAGATTGTCGTCTATGTACAGGTCTATCACTCCTCTGTACGCAGGATTCGTCGTGAGCGGCGTCAGATCGTTTATCTGTAACAGGACCAATGAAATCCGTAATAGGATCGACTCAGAGTTAAAAACGGTCGTCAAAAGTCCGATAAATAGACCGCGGATGTTTATGCAAATTGATATTTTCAAAGATTCGTATAAAAACCTCCCAGTGGTAGGGATGGTTTCAGTGGACTTATAGTAGAGATGTTTGTGCATTTATAGAGACTTTACTGTAGTCGAGTATAAATGAACCTTGTTCCCAGTCAGATGAAGGGTGGTGGTATTCTCAGGCAAGAAACTCGGCATCTCCGTCAGATCACGGTGGCTGCAGTTCACCGAAGCAAACGCCATCGTTTGCCTCTGAATATGCTTTCCACCCTGGCTCACGACGTACACCAGCTCGCAGTCGCATATCGTTCTGGTGCACTCTTCTTTCAGCGTCTGCGACGGATTAATACACTCGGTTGAGAGCAAAATTTATTTCCACGAAAACAAGATGTCCCAGAACGCGCTAACTACAGTAATCCCTCTATATAACGACGAGTTTCTCCCTTGGATAGAAGAATACAAATAATTTCCATCACAAATAATTTTGCTCGTAACTAAACGAAATAGAAATACAGTCCTGCATTGAGAGTCCTGACGATCGGAGCCTTTTTTAATATCAAATTTCCTTTAATAAGTTGAGGATTTCTTTTGAAAAATTAACATTTATTTCACAAGGGGTTAAGGTAACTTTTTATAGTAAGAATAGATATACGTAAAATTCTGATACGTTTAGTGTAAAATTGACGATATTTTCTGGGACACCGTAGCAAACGGCAACGTTCAGGTTTACTTTGATTATCTCCACGACTTGGATCAGAGGTCTGCCTTCGTACGGCGCGGTGCAACGCAAGCTGTCCTTGTCAGCGATTTTCCGGCTCAGAGAACCCTTCTCTTGGTTCAATATCCATGTCGCGTTCTCCGTGCATCCCAGGGGATTACCTTCGCCAAACGATTTTGCATTGCCTATCGGGATCGTAACATCGAGGCTGGGAACAGATTCGATGGTGTCTTACCGGAAAGATAAACGTGACGTAGCGAGGGAACGTTGAACGCCTCGACGTCGACATCCTCGAAGGAGTTGTTCCTCAGGTCGAGGATCTTCAAGCTTGGCAAATCGGCGAAGGTCTGCTTGGGGAATTTCTGCAGCCTTGTTCCGGTTATCCTTACATCCTGAAGAAAACAATGTCAAATAATTGATCGTGTTACTTCGTTTCAAATTCTCGTCGAGATCTCGACAAAATGTTTTATTATATTGCCGATCACATATATTTCCAACACGTATGACGCAGTGACTGCTGCGCTAACGAACGATGCCACATACAATATTGTTAATAATATTCCAGCTAACAGATATAACGATACTCTAAATAATCAATTTCGTACCTCGATCGATCGAACCTCGGATGGAAACGGCGATGCCAATCTAGTTAGGTTGCCATTTGCAATCACTAATTTACGTAAGGAGGGGAACATCTGTAGAGTATGCTGTGGATCGAACGTGTCCAAGGACCAGTAGCAAAGGACCAAAGTACGCACATCCTCGCCCCTAGATAATCGTCACTATGTATTTATCATTTCAGACGTCCGTTAGTAAGAAACGAACGGGTCGTCATAGTCACCCTGATCTCCATTTATCATCGAGACCGTGAAAGCAAACGAGACGATGATCGTGTTCCTTGAAATCACACGTTGCGCCGGTTGTGTTTGGAGACAGCTGACGCAAGTCGCAGGTTCCTTCGTTCTTAGACGCAGATGACAGCTGCGTGCTCCAGACCGTAAACATCGTCCTGTTTGATCCACGGATTTATTGATAATTGTTTCGTTTGGTTTTGTTTCTTGCGAAACGAGAGAAATACTAGATAGGGGAAGTACTACTACACGTATTAGGAAGTACTATGTATTAGGATGTTTAGACGTTTGAATATTTCGATGCTTGGATCTTTGGATCTTCGAATCTTTGAATCTTTGAATCTTTGGATCTTTGGATCTTTGGATCTTTGAATCTTTGAATCTTTGAATCTTTGAATCTTTGGATCTATGAATCTTTGGATCTTTGGATCTTTGGATCTTCAGACCTTTGGATCTTTGAATCTTTGGATCTATGAATCTTTAGATCTTTGGATCTTCAGACCTTTGGATCTTTGGATCTTTGGATCTATGAATCTTTGGATCTTTAGATCTTTGAATCTTTGGATCTATGAATCTTTGGATCTTTGGATCTTTGAATATTTGAATCATTGAATCTTTGGATCTCCGGACACTTGAACATTTATCAAACTGAATACTCCGATTTTAAAAAATTTTTTTCTTTCGAAAACTTTGATACTTGAATATTCTAACACTTGTTAATATTGTAACACAGTCGAACATCCAAATATCTAGATACTTCTATACTTGCACATTTAGCATATCCACAAGTTTTCTCGTGCACAATTTTCGATACACAATTAAAACACTAATGGAATATTATCTAATCTTTCGATGGTTAATTCCCCCACAAACACGGAAGCACTTACAACGGCTTATGCAGCGCGGTTCAACAACATGCACATACACATTTCTATGCAAATAGTAGCGATCCTATTACTTATCTAATCATTGTTGTCTCAACTGTTCCGTTACTCGAATCTTTCGCGAAGATCGATCCCCTCTATCGATCTCCCTAACCGCCTAATTGTAAGGGGAAACTTCTGTTTCCTTCGTTTTGCTTTCCAATTAACTGTTCAGTGATACATTTACCTGAATTATTCTGAATGTTGCGCACTGACCTTACCTCCGAATGTATTTATGCATACATTCGGTTTTGAAGGAAATTAAATGTCAAATACAAAAGTTAAATATTATTGCTCAGAATTCAACACGCGAAATGTTTCTTCCCACGATATCGTACCATAGATTATTGATTAATAGTAATTGGATTTTATACGTTGTGAATAGTCAACTATTCAAACAGTTCTCACGTTGAATACCTTTCCCTAAGAAAAGTAAAACGTCTAGGATAAATTAACGCACAAGAAATTTCCATTAAATAATTTTGTTGTATTTTTTTAAGTTGCTGATTACGTCGCTAAAATCTATAAAAGAAATATCACTTAAAATGGGTCGAAATCATTTAAAATACGACCAGTTGTAAAAGTCTACTTACAAAACAAAGAAATTGAACATTATCCGCATTTTCATTGATCCACTGATTTTTCGGAAAAACTCTAGAAGTTAACGAGCACAGGGAAAACACGAGTCGACGTCAGAAATGGGCAAAATTGTAATCTAATCGAAATACAAAAATTCCAAATACCAAATAAAAATCAGAAAACTCTCGATCCTATGACTGTTCGATAAAAATTACGACTCGAAATTATGCAACGGTATTATATTTTACGTGGAACAAATAAAATCGCATTCGAATAAGTGTTTAATCGAGTAAACATTGCGAATAAATTGCAGCGCGGTTTTTTATTTTGTATTGGTTAATATATTATTCAAATTAAATTTTGCCCATCTCTCAGCAAATCTCTGTCGCAGACGTTGCGAGTTTTAACTGTTTGATAGCGATGATCGATCGACATGGAGAAGAAACGACATGTTCGATTGCACAAGCATCAGCCGTGAACTGGCGATGCTAATAAGAAAATCGAAGCTGGTCCACGACACTCGGCCCAAGATCAACTAAGACGTCGCCAGGGTTTAACTGGAAAAGAACATATTGCAGTTTGTAGGCGCAGACGCAGACATTCGATTTACATAGTGCATTAATGCACGATACGATAATTAGATGTTTTCAGATGAACGAAGAAGTTGTTCAAAATTGGGCTGCGAGTAATCGAATTGTTCGCTACTCGCAACAAATGAAATTCGACTGATATTAATTTTTTGTTTTACGATATTGTGTGAGTTTGAAGAATATTATAGGAAAACATGATATGGGAGATGGTGGCACGAGAAATACCACGTACGTATCGAAATTCTGAGGAAAGTTTATATTTTGGTATCAGGAGCACATGATATGCGAAGAGGTGGCACATTTGCGCCTACAAGCAGGCAACCGGCCCGACATATCTGTAAGTATAGGTTGCCTAATTCA